TTTTAGGATGGCGGCACATTAAATATTTTAAGCCCTTTAAATATTTATAGGTATGGCAGTTGTATCACCATATGCTAGTGATGCAGTAAACTAGGTTTGACCTTTGTTGTTTACATCATAGTAATGCCATTTTGGTGGTGCAACCATTTATTACCAACCCATTTAATAAACAGCACACACAACTGTAGCTCTTAGGTAAGACAATCAAAGAGCAACTTGGAGTAACTTTGCTTTGGCGTTCCCAACCAACCTACTGGCTGCTCCTACAAGTGAACAATATTACTAGCACTACTCTCATTTCTAGATAGATCTGCAACCACTATGTCATCCAGCTTGGAAAAAAATCTGAAGGAAACTAAGAAGGTACTAAGGGACCTAGAAGACAAGGCAATTTATTTTAATAGACAAAAGAAAAAAAACAAGGAAACATTTTGAGTTATTACTTCACATATTTGAAAGGACATTGAAACCAGGGACATCTAATAAAAATGACCAACAGTGAGTTCAAATTACAGGACGGTAGGTGACTCTTTGGATAAACTTAATGAATGGATTCTAACTTGCTTGCCAATGGTGTTCTCATTCACGGAAGGGAGGTTTCCTGTTTCCCTGTTCCTTCTGCAGCCCATGGCCCTCCTGGAGGTTTGGGAATACATAGGCATAATGTGGTAAACGGTACAGAAGGGGTGCATATGGAGGTGAAATGGCAGAACTCTCTTCGCCCACAGAGGACAGAGGAGGTATTACTGACCAGGATGCTGCTACTATAATTAATGATGAGAAAGGAAGAGATGGGAGCAAAGCAATTCCCTCCCAACATATTATTATAATTATTAACATTTCTATACTGCCCATAGCCAAAGCTGTCTGCATGGTTTACAACAATAATATCAGAATCATACACTCAAGTCACCCATCCAGATTTAAATCAGGCACTTCATATCATCCTGATCAATATTTTGCAGGTTTAAAGTAAAAGCAACATGCAGTTGGGCTGCCTTTTCCATTTGGTTGCTGTTACTACTTTTCAATGCATTTTGCTTGTAAAACTACTTGTAGTTCACAATATAGTGGTCAAAGATTGCCATGGTGATAATCAAAGATGGATGTCACTAGTGTGCTGTCTTGTCCAGTAGTAATAGGTATTTTTCAACTTCTAGCAGAGTTTGAAACCCACCACCTGTTCCCATTCTTTCCTATCATGGTTATTCAAGGCATCCTCAGTGGATGTTTGATTTCAGAAGTACCAAATTCCTACTTGAGGGAGGGTGTAGTCTCTACAGCTCTTAAGGAAGCAAAACCCCCCAAATTTGTACCTTGGTAACAGATGACTGATCTCCAGTCTCAAACTGTATTTCCTGAATTTGATCTTAGAGCGGGTGGGGCTTTTCAACTCCAGGCAGTTTTGGGAGAAACCTATTACTTAGATCTAGTCCAGTCCATAACTCGCACAATCCTTGATAACTGGCCATGTGGTCTGGAAATGGTGGGAGTTATTCAAACCATCTGGAGGGCACCAACTTGCCTAGCCCTGCTTTGTAATTAGGCAGCTTTTTTCACCAAAGCATTGCAAAACTTGTAAGTAGAAGGGCATAGGATAGCACTGCCGATGTTCATTTTCCAGAATATTATAATATTTCAAATTCTTCTCTATTCCTTGCCTGTCAACTATTGATTGTTCAAGGATACATTTTTCCTACTGTATATATCCTTATTTACCATCATCTATAAAAAATAGAATACATTGGATAAAGTTTGTCAATCACCAACCAAAGGTTGAAACAGCTGAAGAAGATCTGGTTATTGAGGTTTTATTTTTTTTTAAACCCCAGCTCAGACCTTAGTATCCCTAGAAGATAGGACTCCTGATTCTGCCACAAGCTTATTCTCCTGGCTAACACTGTACTTCCTCATAAATCATTCTGCTACTTTGTTCTGCTCCTCTTCTCCCTGTCTGCTCATAATGCAAAGTAAACATAATAAAGGAGAATAAGGTTTGGGACTAAACATACCTCTGTACTGTTTCTCACCTCCCATCTTAGCACAGCTGGGTAGGGGCCACATAACCCTGCTTTGTCACTAGCCAGTGTGCTGCCATCTCGGACACACAACACCAAAAGTGCTCATGGTCATTTTATTTATTTATTTGATTATTTATTCAGGACAGCAATACAAAGTGGCAGCGTACAGTATGTCCACCTGAAATGCGTAACTGTAAACCAAAGACATCCATTATGTTCTTAACTATCCAGGCTACCAGTTATGTCATTTTGTTTATGGCTGGGATCAGAGCCACTGATTTTATGCCATGTGATACAGAAATATTTTCCATGTTGTGAGCAGATGGGAACATCAAATACAAAGTGTATAGAAAACAGGTCTTCATATTCTTCACCAAAATTTCTCCTCAGCAGGGTCCTGTTTGGCCAGAATCTACAGCCTGCAGATATTATAGCATCCAATAATCCCAACTGGGTGGTGAAATTCAGGTTGTAGGAGTAGGCAGGTGGAAACACCGAGTTATCTGCAACTTAAAAGGTTGAAAAGTAGGTTCCAAGAAAGCCCACGTGGTCCAATACATACAGGGAGGAATGTATAACTGGGAGGTGGATGTTCAAATCTCATCTCTACTAAGCAAATTATTCTTCATTAACTTCATTTTTCTTACAAGTCTGGTGTGAAGGCAAAGGCAAAATTCTTTAAATGATTAGTAACTTAACAGTACTATATGAACTGCAGAAGTCTAAATCTTGGTTCCAGACAGTGGGATACTGTCTTAATTTTGGTTGTTGCAATTACTCTCCCCATTTATTTAAAGTATATTTATGCTGCTTCTCAGCTAAAACAGCTCCCAATGTAGCTTACATAGAAGCACTGAAGACCCTGTCTTGCAGGGCTTACAATCTAAAACATCACGTTGTTGTTGTTGTTAGTCACGAAGTCGTGTCCGACCCATCTCGACCCCATGGACAACATTCCTTCAGGCCTTCCTGCCCTCCACCATCCCCCGGAGTCCACCTAAGCTCATGCTGACTGCTTCAGTGACTCCATCCAGCCACCTCATCCTCTGCCGTCCCCTTCTTCTTTTGCCATCAATTGTTCCCAGCATTAGGCTCTTCTCCAGTGAGTCCTTCCTTCTCATTAGGTGGCTGG